CGCAATGTCCCTGGAGATGGCACGGTCTGGTTTCTAATTTTGAAAGTGGCCATACCAGGGTTTCCAAACTGGCAGGCAGGCTGGCAGCAAAGGGCTCTGAATAGTAGAGAGAACCATCTGGAAGCAGGTAGCCACTCAGTGTTATGGAGGGGTATGATGCAGAATTGGCAACAGCTAGAGAGCAGGGCCTAGTTTCTAAAGGGGGTAAGAGGCAGAAGGGAAGTAAGGACTGAGCCAGAGAACTCGTCCTTCTAAAGGAGCAGATCAGTGAAAATCAGTGAGTCAAGGAACACTGGGGTGCAGAGGTTCCAAGGCTCCCAGGTTCACTTAGTGTGACTGGCTACTGGGCAATCCCAGGAACACTGACAGAGCTCAACCAATGGGACCTCCAGGACTTCTAGATTGGGAGTCTGGAGCAGGGCCCAATTCTATATGCCTCCCCCTTGAAAGGAGGGGTACCTTTGTCTAAGTGAAACAGGGGGTCATCTGAGATTACTCTGGAAGCAGGGCCCCTTAATGTGTCCAGAGAAAACGGCCATGGAGCTATTGTTTCTTGAATCAGGGTCAGAGGGGAGTGAAGTGAAGTGATCTCAATTTCCAGGGAGAAAACTAGAGTGACAGGGAGCCACCCAGCAGGCTTTGCTGGGGCAGATATTTAAATAAACTCCTCTAGCCAGAAATTGCCCTGAAAGGCAGAAGGGTGTGTCTCTCTGGGAGAGGACCAAAGACCCTGACCCGGAGACATTGTGATGACTGAGCAGAGAGAAATGAGGAGGAGACTGAGCAGCTGTACCTCTACAACCATTTGAGGCTGCTGCAGAGGCTGGTGACCTTTGGCTGGAGAGCACAGTGGAGAGCTCTAGGCTTCCCCTGGGACTATCTCCAAGGTCCAGAATCAACCACAACTTCTCAGGTTACCTGAGAGCAGGGCAGGGCCAGGGCACCAGCAAAGGAGAAAGAGCTTTGCTAGCCAACCTGAAGAAGAAAGAGGTCATCAGGGACTACTAGATCATGGCAGCAGCAACCACTTGGATACTGGCACACTGAAAGATTTCCAACAACTGTAAGTGACCTTGATGAGAGTGAGTTCTCGGCATGTCTGGAGGGATGCTGTAGGGCCTTTGGATAATCTTGTCAAAGGGATCATTTTTGTTGTTTTTGTCCTATTACATTGTAAACAGAGAACTTGTAGATAGGGTAACCGAGATTTTTTCCAAGACAATTTATTGCCTAGGTAGAGGTATTGCCCTTTCTCATTCACTGGGTATTAATGATCCAGAATCTAGGGATAACTAATATTTTAAGAGCCTCAAAAATGTTTCATAACTGATTAAAATGTGTATTTAATTGAATGGCTATAAAATGTAATAGTAAGCCAACTAGTGAATTGCAACTCAACCCTTACTCTTCACATGGTGATAGAAGAAAAATAACAAAAATCATCTTTCTTATAGTAGACCCCACAGATTATCCAAAGGACCAAAGCATTAAATATACAAATGCATATTTAATTTGAAACGAGTATCCTGAAATATTTAACATAATGTGGCTGGGGACATGAAAATAAAGGTGCCAAAGAAGGACTTAAAGGACACAAAAACGATCCTGTTCTCAAGATTCTGGGTGGGCCCTATCTCAGTTTTCTGGGAATGACTTTGAGTAAAAAGTACATCAAACTTGCTGGCTCTTTCTTGCTATATGCATCACTACACAAGGACTGTAGGTATTTAATTCTAGAATTCTAAAGTTTTTGGATCCTTAATGAGTATCATATAATGCAAAAGTACTACAAAACTAGGAATTCACATGCAAGGTGAAAAGCTAGAGACAGAGGAAGAAATGGAGCTATGGGAAGAGAAAATGAAATTACGCGTAAATAACTCACAAGTTATTAAAGAGCTTTAGTGTTTTCTTCCAAATAAAAGACCTAAAATTTATAACAGTGAAAAAATAATTAGCAACCAAGTTGTTCTTTTCTTTCCACATAAATTCCAAAAACTAAACGTTATGTTAAATGTCTGGTCACAAGTGTTAGTTTATGGAAGTAAGGCCTGAGTTTGGTTCCCTTGAAGAAAATTTAGAGAGGGGGATAATGGTTAGAAAAATATGGGGAAGCCAGCTTACGAGGAGAGAAGAGCTTGGTGGACATTGAGAAGGGTGGGGTATGAGCAAAATGTCCAGGGAAGCAGAGTACCTTGCTTGGGATTCATGAAGTGTTATATGTTTACTAAAAAGCATAGTACCACTTTCTTGACTCTAAACAGAATAATGATTTGTGAATTATTTGCTACTGCATGCTTTAGTTGTTGTTTTTTTAAAGATTTTATTTACTTATTTGTCAGAGAGAGAGGGAACACAAGCAGGGGGAGCGGCAGGCAGAGGGAGAAGCAGGCCCCCTGCTAAGCAGGGAGCCCGATACGGGGCTCAATCCCAGGACCCTGGGATCATGACCTGATCCAAAGACACTTAACCAACTGAGCTGCTCAGGCGTCCCTGCCTTAGTTTTTTGATAGCTAGAACTGGAAAATGATAATACAAAACAGGGTGGTGGTGTGGAAGGCAGTGGTCAGTCTATTGTGTGTACCTAGTCATGAAATGGGAGCATCTGTGATGTTAATTTAGAAAAGAGAAATAAAATGCTGCAGTCACTAAAATATCACAGTGGGACGCTTGCTTGGCTCTTGAGATGAGCGTCATAGAGTTAGATCAAGATCCAAAGTCTAGTCCTCATCTGTGCTCATGACACTCAGAGAATGGCTCTTCTGATCTTTACTGCTAACCTATTAATTACAATAAAGAGAACTTCCAAGTCATCCATTGAGGAGTGTAAATGGTTTTCTACAGAAAACTGGCATTGGACAGAAAAATGAGTATCAAAAGTTTCTTGGTGTCTAAGGAGTCGCAACTTGAGCAATGCAAACCTGATAAATGACTGGTGGAAGCACACTGTGCACAATACCAGTGATAAAGCTGTTACTTATTTATATATTTATAAAAATCACTTATGGCAGTAATAAACTATAGCCTATAATAGTTTAGTTTTCCAATAGATATCCAGTAAGTTCGAAATCAAATCAACAAAGGTAGTTCTTTAGGGTATTGGTATTATAACACCAAGCTTTAATCCAAGCTTATTGACCACTGTCATCTTTTACTTTGCCAAACCATCACAGTCTTACTAGCATTAGTTATAAGCCATATTTACTCTTACTCTTTGCTATTACTTTACCAGTGGATAAAGTCACCAAGGAAAAGAATGGTATGTCCTAACAGTGCAGAGATCAAGCCTAGGAAAGGGACTCTAGGAGAATACCCTGAGGAGCTATTTGACATTCTTGTGGTGGAACCACCCCCAACTAGAACCCAGGCAAGTGTCAAAGGTCACCCAAGTACCACTCATTCCTTAATTCCCAATTGAAAATCTACTTCAAGCATTCATTATAATGATTGCTTGAGCGTATTACCTGAATCAGTGCCTAACAATGACTGATCAGTGGAAAAGAGGGTGTGATATAATTTAAGGGGCCAAAAGAGCTAAAAGGCCTGGGCAGAAATTATACACAATTTTCACTGTTTCCGTCACCTATCATAAAGTTAACACAGATCTACAATGAGTACAGCAAATAGTTTTAATTGTTCTTTATGTTTGGAGAACACAAAATTTTGCATTAATATTTGCTCTCCCCCCCAGTCCCTAGCACACTAATGCTCACTTCCACTTTTGCTTTTTAACCCTTGGTTAAGGCAGTTTTCAACTTTATGGTTATGCTGATCTTACCTTTTTTCCTGATACTCTTTGGCGCTGGTTGTATCCCTCTCATGTTTTGTGTGTTAAATACGTGAATAACACAAAGTAGTATTAATTTGAAGTGAGGGAGATCTGCTTTCCCGATATTCAAACTCCATTCACCCTTGAATAAGTTATTTATTATTTCTGATCCTCAGTTGCTTTATCTGTAAGATGGTAATCATTTCTACCACGAAACTGTAAAGTTGCTGAGAGGATTTAAAAAGATCATGCAAGTCTGTGCTTACAGGGCTCAACACATAGTAAAATAATGTTTTTCTTCCACCTCTCCTTTTCTTGGGGAAGCAGGTAAACAGTTGACTGATGCGCAGTTTAAAAAAATGAAAGGAACTGGGGGAGGGTCTTTAAATGATATTCGTGTCTGTACTGTCCCTCAAAACTCTTTAAATATTCTTGCCAGCTAGAGCAAGTTTTCTCTCACGAGTGCTGAAAAATGTTCTGTTCGTTGTCACCTTTCTTTAAACTCCAAGAGGAAGTCTCATGTCTTCAAACCTTTGCTTAGAGCATTATTTACCGACGTTTAGTCGTGGGATGCCACCTGTTCTTCCGTGCTTTGCAAGCAACCTCAGCCGCCTTTAGGCGGACCCCTTCCTTCTTAGGCCTGAGACTTCCATTTGAGGCTCTTCTCCGACCGAAAACCGTTCCACTGTGGCACTTCATTTGCCTACCGAGTTGTCTTTATTTCTCACCTGGAGACTGTATATTGCTGTGTTTGTTTTAGCACTTCACAGAGTGACGAGCTCGAAACAGGGGCTCGGTAAAAGTTGCACCTTGGCTTTCTAGTCTGGTACAGCCCCAAGGAAATCATATCGAAAACCGGCTGCCGCCTCTCGCACCCTACGTCTATCGATTTAAGAGGCGTTATCAGCGGGCGTTTTAGGCAAAGAAAGTTTTATGCTGGGTAGAAGGGAGGTCCCTCAAGACGAGGGAACTCCTCGTCCTCTCCCCAGGCGCGAGCGCTGCAGACGCGCACGGCCGGGAGCCCAGTGCCTGGCACAAGCGGCGGTGGCGGCTTCCAAAACCCGGCGGCGGATCCGGGCCGGCCCGGAAGTGCCCGGCGCGGGAGGGAGGGAGGAAGAACCTTGCGAGCCCACGCCGCCGCCGCGCGCACGCGCCTTCGCTGGCTGGGGCTGGGGCTGGAGTCGCAACTCGGAAGCCGGAGCCCGGACGGGCCCGGGGCCGGGAGGGGGGGGCGGCGCGGGGGCGGGAGCAGCGGAGGCGGCCGCCCCTGGCGCGGGTTTGTTTATCCCGGGGAAGAAGTTTAGGAGCGTGAGATAGGAAGGAGGGCGGGCTGGGAAGAAGGGATGCGGCTCGGTGGAGGCGGCCGCCACAGGGACTCGCCGCCATCACCTCCGCCGCCGCGGCCGCCGCAGCCGCCGCCTCAGCGGGAGAGGAGCCGCTGCCGGGACTGCCCGCCGCCGCCCCGCACGTCCGGGTAGGTGCCCCTCCCCCTCCGAGGTCCCTGCCGCACCTTGGTCGCTTGCTTCTCCAACCCCCAGCCCTTCCAACTCGCCTGCGCTGGAGCGGGGCGGCCTCCTCCTCACACGCTGCGCCCCCATTCCTCCTGGCTCGGGACCCCTGCTCCTTCGGCGTGCCTTCCTTTTCTCAGGGTTGCTTTCCGCCCCCGCCTCTCAGCCCCACCCTCCGCCCCCTCCCCTCCTCCCCCCCTCCCCCCTCCTCTCCCCTCCCCCCCTCCTCCCGGCCCGTCTTCCCCTCGCCAGTCTTGGCTTGTCCCTGGTGATGCCCCCCCTTATCGATTTTTTAGCCTCAGCCTACCAGGATCCCCCACACTTTCCTCCACAAGCCTCGCCCCTTTTCCTTCTCCCGTCTCCCTCCTTTATACCTGGTCTGTTTCCTTCCCCCCCGGAGTACTGCTCAAAGAGGGAAGCCCCTTCTTCCCCCCGCCCCCCAGCGTCCCCATCCATATCTCTCATCCCAGACATATGTATGTGTGAAGTTATCCCTATAAGCCCATTTTAGGGTGAATTCTCTGCTCTCCAGCCAGACCACCCAGTGTTTACTGCGGTCTTCATGCCCTCAACCTACCTCCCTACCTTCAAGCACGTATTGCCCTCTCACAAATTCTTTGTCACGTTCACCAGGTAACATCAAACTGGCTCTGCGGTTCAGGGTCCAAATGTTCACTTTCCCCTTTGACTCGCTTGTGCTATCGTTTCTCCTAACTCCTCTTCCTCTCGAGTCTATGTGTACTAAATAAAGGGGAGAGGATGGTCGAGTTTTCTTCCTCAGAGCAGGAGATCCAGCAGAAATAAGATTTACCTTTTGCTTATCCTAACTTCTGGCCTCTTTCTCGGTGAATTGTGTCATTCAACCATACTTTTGAGGCTTTTGATGCTTTGTCTATACTTGAATAATCCTGGGCCTAGATTGTTCCATTAATACTTGTCTTCCCAGTTTTTCCTTGCAGCTGAATCCACTGTTTCTTAGGAAATTTAAGTAATAAAAGGTTTATACGTTGGAAAATTACATCTCTGCTGCCGTAATGGGAAAGCTGGAATATTTCAGATTATCATCCTGTTATTCTTGGGAGAAATGGTGCCTAGTGGTTAAGAGCCAGATGTAGCTGAACTGCCAGCATCTAAACCCCTGCTTTGCCATCTACCCAGCTCTGGCCTTGGGCAAGTTATTTAATCTCTGCCTCAGTATTCTTACAACTCTAAAATGGGGATAGTGGTATTCTTGATAAGATGGTGGTGATAATTGCATAACTTATTGCAGGTAAAATACATCAGTTCTTGGCACCTGGTAAGCGTTCAGTAAATGTTCTTTATCATCATCATCTTAGCTTGACTTCTTTTGGCTATTGGTGGGTTGATTTTGAGGAAGGAAGGTGGGAATAGAAGGCTGCCTTTTGCTCTTTTTCATTTAACATCTTTTTTGATGTAGTTATTATTCATATTTTGTTACTGTATAAATTAATTCCTTCTGGTGTGAAAAGTACAGAGTTTTAGCTCCCTCTTTAAGGGTAAGTTTCTAGGCTACATGCAGGTCAGTCCCAGCTTCGGTGTCTTTAAAATGTTGTATTTGTTTTGAGAATAGATGAAATTGAAATATGTAGCAAATTTATCATAGTGGAAAATGAGGGTTTTACTGATAAGAATTTTAGTACACTGCAAATTAAATACTGAAAACTGATTGTTCACACCTATCAGTCCTTTATGTTGAATTGGTACTCAAGAGCTTGGCTTCATTCAGAAGACTAGTGGCTTTTCTCTCTTAACATGTTTATTAACACGGCCATGCCTTGATGTTTCCCAAATTTTACTCACTCTTTAAAACCCTGACAATTTTTGTCATATTTACTTACCTCCTGTGCATTATTACTTGATACTTTTTTTATAACAACTCAGTTAAAATCCAAATAGGTACTGTTTAGTATTGTTATAAATAGTAACATATGTACTGTCAAAATAAAGATGTTTGCCCATTTATAGCTTTAAAGGAAAAACAAAAACAAAAAAATCATATTTTATGTCACCAGTGGAATGTACTCCAAATTTTGAGTGACAGTGACTTTGTCCATGCTGTTCTCTGGCCTGAAATAACCTCTGCTCTTTTCCCCACATATCCAGATTCTACCTGTCTTTCACATAGTTTCTGCCAGCACTGTTTTTTTTGTCTCTTGGTTTTCCTGCTGTCTGTATTCTGCATTTTTGGCTTTGAATACCATAAGCCCTGGTTCAAGAAAAATGACTACCCCAGAATAAGACTTTGGAAGTTTATAGGAACTTGGAAGGGCTGGAATGAAATGGACACTTAGCATTTACTCTGTGCTAAGCACTCTTGCTTGGTTTTGTACATATTTGTTCTTTCTAGAAATATTTAATGAGCACTTACTTCATGCCAGGCATTGAGGATACACAAGAGCAGCCCTTCTGAACCAAGAGTTGTAGTGACTCTCAAGCCTTAATGCTCTAAGGCATCCAAGGTATGTAATGAATTAACTCCTCTCCTCCTCCTGAAATGGTACTGGCTATGTACCTTGAGAGAGAGAACTGAGGAAATAATCACCTAACTCAGTTTCTCTAGGACTTAATTCGCATAGAACCCTGGCTGAGAAATGTTCCATCAGAGAAGAATAGTATGGACTCTGCTTTTTTGTAATTTATTTTAATGTGGCACTGACAGACAATAAGCAAGTAGGCAGATAAAATTACTTTATAAGAGGGTACTGGTAATATTAAAGATAATGATAACCACTAACACTTATAAAACACTGTGCCAGGCACTTTTTCAAATAATTTAATATCTTGTTTAATCCTCATAACAATCCCTTGAAGAAGGCTCTATTACATCTCTGTTTCACAGATAAGGAAACTAAGAAATTATTTAACTTCCTACAAAACCACACAGCTTTGTAAGCAGTGGAACCAGACGATATTGTTGTAGTCTGTTACCTTTGGTTGCTTCTCAAATTTTCCAATTCCTTGTTGGTTACTTTAGACAAAGTTCTTCTTCACTTTTCTGGGGAAGGAAAAAAAAAATAATTTTGACAGTGAGGTTTCCCTGTCTTTTTAGGTTGTTGAGGGAAGTAAAGGAGATGTAACTTTTGTAAAGCATGGGGTATGCAGACTTATCCCAAATCTTATACGTGACTAGATATTGAAGACATTTACATTTTTGTGGTCCTGCTAACCATTATGTTTCCTGACATAGATTTATTGACTTACTAAAAGTTTATTGAACAACTGATATGTGCCAGGCACTGTGCTAGGCTCTAGTGATGTATGTTAATGTAAGGAATTACTTGTATTCATGGAGGCAAAAGCTATTGGAATAAAGAAACTAAACAGCTAATTACAAAAATAATTATAATTATGATTGCTGCCACAAAGGAAAATTATGTTAAGCAGTGAAAGTCCACTAAACTAACAGGGAATGCTTCTCTAAAGAAATGACTTTTAGGCTAAATCTGAAGGATTAACTGAAGTTACCCAAGTGATGTTGGCAGTTTCAGCTTTCTAGAACTGGAAAGTCCTATAGAGGCTGGACCTTAGCACATGAAGCTGGTTGGTGCAAAATGAGACCAGAGCAGATCACAATGGTCAATCATTGCTAAGCATTTTGTACTTAAATCCTGGGGTGGGAAGCCACTGGATAATGTTAAAAAGCTGAATAAGTTACTTAAATTTTTACTTTAAAAATATCACTTGACTGCTCTGCAGAGGACACACTGGAAAAAGGCAAGTGTAAATGCAGGGAGACCAGTTAGGCCAGTGCTTCTCAGACTTATCTGTGGAGAAGGACCTGTTTTGGTTTGTTTCGTTTGGTTTGGTTTCTAATCTCTACTGGTACTTTAGTGACACAATAAAATGGATGTTGTGGCAGTTGTCAAATTGCTATAACAATTTCTGAATACTTCTTTCGGTTTCTGTATTTACCTTGTCTCAGACCAGTAACAGTAGTGCGTGGATGACTGTTGGTCTACAGACCACACTTTTGAGTAGAATTGAGTTCAGCTATTATAGTAGTTTAGGGAAGAGATGATGGAATCTTGGTCCAGGATGGCAGCAATAGAAAGTAGCTGGATTGGGGGGAAGTTAAATTGATAGGATTTTGTCATGAGTTAGAGTAGAGGGTCTAGAGAGAGGAGAAGGCAGGTTCCCAGGACTGGTGGTTCCTGTGCCTAACATGGAGAATACTGGGGAGAGGGGCAGTTTCTTGTTTATTAGTTTCTGGGAAGTGAAGAGACTATTGATCATAATTCAGGTGAGAATCCTCAGTATATGACTTACAATGAAATCTTAGTGTGAGAGGTGGCGGATGTGATCGCCCAGAGAGAGAGGGTAAAGGGATATAATAATTCCCTATGAATTTTCAACATTTAAACATTGGGAAAAATAAATGTAGCAAAGGAGACTGAGAAGGTGTAGCCAGAGTTGGGAAGAAATTTTCCTTGACATCACTGAAGCCAAGGCAATAGCCTATATGAAAAAGGAGTGGGTAATCAGCTATGTCAACTGTGTTGAATGAAGCTGAGAACTCAATTAAGTTGGCAACTGAAAAGTACTCTTTGGCTTGAGCAACATGAAGGAAATTTTATTATATATTTATTTTTTATATATATATTTTATTATATTATTTACTTATGGGGGGAGGAGCAGAGGGAGACAGAGAGAGAGAATCTTAAGCAGACTCCATGCCTAGCATGGAGCCAGATGCCATTTCAGGACCCTGAGATCATGACCTGAGCTGAAATCAACAGTCGGACACTTAACCTACTGAGCTACCCACAACACGAAAATTTTGTATTTCTCAGTAGTCTATCCATAAACTAGTTGATGAATTTTGTTTTAACCTGCCAAAGCAACAATTCTAAATTTAGGATAAAATTACCATATCTATAGCATGAGCCATCTTCCTTCCTCACTTTAAACCCATGTTTCTATTTATCACCATCTAGATGTGCTATAA